CTTGGGCCGCCGGGGACGCCGTACCGCGGGCCGCTACCATCAAGTACACAGGGGGGAGTCGGGCCCCTCAACCCGCCCGCCCGCCGTGTCGGGCCGGCCGGCGGCGGCGCGGTTTCCCCCGGCCAGGCGCGGTGGTGGCGGCCGGCGGCCATCGGCAGCGGAGGAGGCGCGCGGTGGGAGCCGCTCGCGGGGCCAAGGAGGTGCCGGGCGGGAGCGGGGGCCGAGGGCGGGATCGGGATCGGGATGGGCCGCTTTCCTCCGGAGAGCCCTCGGGACCGGGCTGCTGCACCCCACAGCCGCCGCCAGGCCGGCGCGGGGCAGCGCAGCCCTGAGCGCGGCCGCTCGGGCGGGCTGTGACGCGCTGTTTGTCGCGGCGTTTGTGTCGTTGCAGGCACAGCGCAGAAATGATCATCCCGGTCAGGTGCTTCACGTGCGGCAAGATCGTGGGGAACAAGTGGGAAGCCTACCTCGGCCTTCTGCAGGCGGAGTACACGGAAGGGTGGGTTTGGTTTCTGCGTGTTCGAGTCGCGCCGCGGGTGGGATCCACAGTGCACAAGATCCCGGAGCTGCTGGGCTGGGAAGGGAGCTCTGGAGAGCCTCTCGCCCAGCCTCCCCGCCCAGGCAGGCCCAGAGGCACCAGTGCAGGGTCCTGGCATCATGAAAGAGACGTAGAGAAGCTAAAATAATCACAGGTACATTCTGAGGTGGTTTAACCAAGAGTTAGAAATTACAATAGGCAACAAAGTACTTATTTCCCCACTGAATCTTTGAGGGTAGCAGTGTGGAAGTTGGCCCTTGTACCCAAAACATTCCCAAATATTTAACTCTGTACACATTTGCTTGTTTCTTCCCCTTCCATATACCCAACTTTGACCAACGTGATCAGTTTCTTAAAGGCAGAGAAGGAAAAATTTACAAGTGTATGAAGTGTTTAGCGATTTTGGTTGGTTTTTTTGTTTTTTTTTTTTAAGCATTTTAACCCAGGGTTGCTAACCTTATTTTTGAGTACTGATTTGCTGGAGAAAGAGGCTTTACCTGCTTTAGATACCCCAGTGATAGTCCTAACAACTGTGTGTTAAGAAGTCTGTGCATCCCTTGCATAGCCAGAGTTTCTACTAATACTTCAAGGAGAGTGTAACTATGGTGACACTACCTCAGAAGCTTTGAGAACAAAAGTTGAGAAATACTTACATTTGCATCAAGTTTAAGTATGAAACAAGTAAAAGTATCCATGGATGTTTGCAATTCAGAGGAGTGAAAAAGAAGTTAGAAATTTAAGTGATGTTGAAGTAGAAAGTAGATGTTAAGTAGAAAGCAAATAATTTAGTTTGTTTTCAAGCAGTTGGGGATCCTAATAGTTTTACAGGTAAGCTTATTAAGTTTACCAGGACTTTTCTGATAATGCTTCTGACATGTATTCTAGGCATTACATTTTAATATTTTTCTTCATTATCCCTCTGCTTTTGTATAGGAGTTTTGTGTTGCCATTGACAAATGCTCACTTGAAAACAATTGTGGTCACTGGCTTGATTCTGGGGTGCTTGTTCCAATTAATGCAATTATGGTGTTGTAAGAAGTAGAGTTCACAGATATCCAACAGCTAAAATCTTACAGTGCAGTACTGCAGTGACTGTTAATGGTGGCTTAAGAAATGGATGGGCAAAATAGGAAAACTTGTCTAAATAATCAGTATTTTAAAAAGACACCCACATCTTTCTGTTTGTCCCTTAAAAGTGCTCTTTTTGCACAAGTCCTTGGAAGCTGGAGGAAAACGTAAATACAACTAAAGTTGTCTTAAAGTATATAGTATGACTTTGGAAATTGTGATTAATGTTGGTATTTTGCATCTCTGATAACTGCATATGAGAGTTCAGAACTCTTCAGATAGCTCTTAAAATTCACCTATCAACAGACATCAGATGCTTTTGTTCTCAGGTGTTTTGGAAAATTGAGGCATGATGTGATGTTATTTATAAACATTCTTTATGGTGCCCCACAGTGCTCTTATACTTGTCTGAAACAAGTTTTGCAGGAGCTGTCCTAGGACGAACAGCCCTGCTGCACTGTCCACAGTTGCAAGGACTGAGTGACAGCAGAGAAGCTGCTGGAGGTTGGCTCCTGCAGTTAGACTGTACTGCTTGAAGCCAAACAACCTTTTCCCGTTGTCCAGCAGAGGCAGAGGCTTCCTTTCAGTCCTTTGTATTTCAGAAAAGTATCCATTGGCCTATCCTACAGGAGAATTACAAGTTCCAGGAAATGAAGTTTGTTTTGAGCAAACGCTTTATTGCACTGCATTATGTCAGTATCGTCATAAAGACCTGAGATCTGTCATGTCTCACAAATGTCACATTCTGAAGGAGTGTCAGACTGGATTTATGGTGCAGAGGTTGCAGCTAAAGATCCTGGTAGTACCGTGACCTTTAAGAGGACTGACAGGCACGGCCATGGAAAACACCCGCAGCGTTCAGGCTAGGGTGACTCAACATCCTCTGCCCAAACATAAGAATCTGGAGCAGTCACTCCGAAGGAGTTCAGTGGAAAGACTGTGAAACACTGATTTCTGACCAGCCTGCACCTACCTTACTGGTGTGTATGTTGGGGGCAGGTTGTATAACCGAGTGCCTTCTCCCATGGGAGCTGGGAAGGATTGTAGCCATCTCCGAATTAGCATCCCTGCGTGGGGGACTTTGCATTCCGAGTTATTTTAGTTTCTGTATATCTCACCTTTTTAGCGTGGCTCAGAACTTAAATTTATCTTGTGAAATAGGCAAGAATCATCCTCAGTTTACAGAAATATGTTAAAACAGTGCCCTCTGAAAGCTGTGGCAGCTGGGGACCCTCCTCAGCAGCAGACCCTGTGCTCTGGCCGGCTGGAGCATGGGCAAACACACTCAGCAGCACTAAGGGAAAAGGGCATTAACAGCACGTGCTGAATTTCTGTCTGTCTTTGAACTGCAAACAAATTTTCCTCTATGACTGAGCTCAAAGTAATCAGTGTGTTGCTTAGGAAACGCTTACAAGTGGTTCTGACTCACTTCATCTGTTATGTTTTTTAATTGTTGTTCGTTAATAGAGATGCCCTGGATGCCCTTGGCTTGAAGAGATACTGCTGCCGCAGAATGCTCCTCGCCCATGTGGATCTGATTGAGAAGCTTTTGAATTATGCACCCCTGGAGAAATGAGATGGAAAAAGCACTGTGCTGCAAGCCATGTGGAACGTATCTCTAATTTAAACTTGAAACTGGACTTCAGGCAGTAAAGGATGAAAGCCAACTGTAGTGCAACCATCAAGAGATGTTTATCTTCTGGATAAAATACTGCCCCAAGCCACTAACCTCTTTCAAGGAAACAAAGGAATGATGAAGTCCACTTAAACAAGATTTAGAGATTAAAAGTTTGGATGTTTCTTCTTAAATCTGTGTTTGGAGTTGTGAACTTCGAGATGCTTCTGCCAGTAAAACCAAATGTTTGTCCATGTAGAAAAACTATTATAGTTCATTAAAATGTTGAAATAAAGGAGGTTTTTCCCTTGTAGCCTTCCTACAGTTTCTGGATAAAGTGTATGCTTGGATCTTGCGGGTTACCTTAAGGTTAGAGGTGTTGCTGGGTACCCGTTTCAGTGTCCTGCACTAGCCAGGCAAGGGTTAGAAACACAGGACTGAACTGTGGTTCCAGTGACAAGGAAGTGGGTAAGTTTGTGAGGCAGCTCCAGAAAGCTGCTGGAGCCTGCAGAGAAGGCTTCCCACGGCAGCTAAAGTCAACTTGTGTTCTCTACCCCGATCCTTACCAAACACTGTGGCTGCTGTATCACAAAAACACTGATTCAGATGGTGCAGTGCCTTCATTTAAGCAAAACATGTCTGAGTGTCTCCACGGCGAGCACTGGATGTGAGGATTGAGGCGTGCTGGTGTGAACAGGATCAAAGTGCTGCTGCTGCCAAGCACCTGCACCCCTCTGTGGCTGGTACAAACGCTTTCCACCGCTCCTCATCTCAGTGGCTTCACGTTGTGCTGCGCGTGTGCTGCGGTGCTGCCCGGCCCGACAGAGAGGGGCTGCAACGGAGAGAGAGGGCAGCTGGAGCTGCAGGGCTAGGAAAGGTCACCTGCAGCCAGACAGGCACTGACCCTGCCCCGGGGTGTCACCTTGCTCTTGCACAATCAGCTTGTAAATTGGATCATGTTTTCACTCTGTTTTCTGCCGTGCATGAAGGTGCGTGGTGTGCCCACAGGCAGACACACCCATCTTACCTGAAAGTGAAGAGGGCCATTCCTGTACCTGTGTGGGTTTGGGATTCTGTGCAAATGCAGCATTAGTTCACCATGACAGCCCAGTAGAGAATGGGCTGGAAAGCAGAATAATTGCTTAGGATGCAGTCTTGCTCCTTGGTGCAATTAAACTTTTGGCACTCATGTATCAGCTGCAGGGTAAGAAGTATCTCTGTGGATTCTTTTCTGTAGTACAAGGAATCTGGTTTGAACAAACCCTGGGTTTACAGAAATAGTCATTATTTAATGTGCTTACTGAGTCCAACTTGTACCCACAAAGCTTAAAACTAGATTGTCTCACAAAACAAGAGGCAGGACTGCTGCTTGCCTTTGGCTATCACCCAACCAATCTTTACACTTGAACTTGCTTTTCAATTTACTACAAGACAGTAGTAGATGTTTCTCATATTCAGCAATTCTTCACTGAAGACATCTTAAAACCTGTGCTTTACCCTAATGCAAAGAGAATTAAGCAATTAATTCTAGCATTTGTTTCATAGTTGGTTGGGTAGCTTATGTTCTGCATGCCTGCTGTATTAGCAAGCTGAACACACTTTATAAAAACAAACCAAAAAAAACC